AGTTTTTGACATGTGTTTATGACTTTTAACTCATTCTTCAGAATTTGCGTGGCACTGGAACAGTTCTTGTAAAACGTAAGTGGCAATAACATTAGAGAATTGAATCCTGCTGTTTTCACATAAATTAAGTACAGCGGTTCTTCACATGCTGTGAGATCTCCCGTAGTGATTTCTTAATATATTTCAAATCATTTTCCAGAATTAATCCATGGGTAGTGTAAAAGATATTGCAATTGCTCCTGAATATATAAGGGGGCTTTAAAATCTGTCTGTTGTCCTACTGAAGGAGAGGCAAAATCTTCTAAAACTATTATCTTAATAAATCTCTGGCAAGGTTGTGGAGCATTTGCTTCAGCATATGAAGTAATTTTATTTCAAGGATCCATTCAGTGTTGTAACTTTTTTCTCTACTTCTCCCCTTCCCCCCTCCCCTCAAGAAAAATGTCATTTACTAAAATAGAAGCTGATCAGGCTCATGTTAAACTCAGTAACAGAATTGCCTTTGAATTAGACAGGAGTGAGATCAGTCTCAGACTGAATGACAGTGAGGACAATTGTGGAAGTGATTATACAGAAAAGGAAGATTAAAATTAACAGCTAAACAACCAAGTAGGAAACAAACTAAAGAATACACACAAAATTAAAAAGTCCACACTAAAGACACAAACAAAGGCTATGGTTTAGAGAGATGAAGAAATAGATTAGAAGTCCAAATCCTTTTGCACTTCAGTAGGAGCTGAGTCTCTATCTGCTTCTTTTTTAATTCCTGCTCAAAATTAAATAAGTTGAGGAAAAGAATTGAGGAAATATGAAGTCCAAAGAGGGAAAAACCCCTCCAAAACCTATGGCAGTGCCTGAAGAGCATAAAAGGTACGAACAAGGAGCACATATCAGCTGCTGACTAAACATACCAAATATCAAGGTTAGGTGCTATTTGGTCACATAGGGTCTAGTCCAAGTGGCTCTTGGCCAGAGTACACAAGAACAGCACCAGCTTTGAGGTGGCACTGCCCAGACAATTTCCTTTTAGTCAGTCCCCACAAGAATGGTTAAAAAGAGAAAACTCAAAATGACAAGGGAAGACAAGGCACAAATAAATAAATATATAAATAGACAGAAAGTTCATACATCATTTCTCTCTGCCTCCTTTACCATTAAAAGCAAGTCCTTACTTCCAGAGCTACTCTCAGCCATGACGTTCAGAGTTTTAGCAAATTGTCTAGCACCCCACTCACCCTGCAGCCTGCCCTATCCCTAGGAATCTGTTTCATAACCTCTCACACATGATTTTTCCTCCCTGCTGTCTTTCAGTCTCTGTTTGATGTTGTTTTCAAGATGTCTCTCCACTCTTATACCCCCCTGGAATCTTCATCTTGCACAGGTTCAGGGTTTCACAAGGCAAGGTGCAATGTAGACCATGGAGCTCCACCTTGCCTAGTTGTTCTCTCAGTGGGGCAGATGTTAAGACTATGAAAAGTCAATAAAAAAGAACAAAATCTGCCTTTCCCGTTGCTACAAAACCCAGTGAATAACATATGCCATATGTAGATGTAGGTGTAGAAAATTTAAAAAGACCAGAGACTGCAAAGCCCTTCACTCTCCAAAAAATGCTATAAACACTGTGCTATAGGTGAAGCACAGACAATAAGTTTAGAATGTAATACCTACAATTTGGAAACCATTTTTCCAGAATTTTGTGGGTTGACTCAGGAGTATTTAAGGACTTTCTGCAAGTGTTGTAAAAAAAAAATTATCAGAAAATTAAACAGTGACCATATATAACATATCTAATTAAATAAACTTGCTATTGTGTTTATACTGCAACTGGTGAGATCTAATAGCTTTTGAAATATAGAAGACAAAGAGGGTAATTACTTGGCTTAGAGAGGGGATAACACTAATGACGGTTGCCGAAAGAAGTTGTGAATGCGCTAACCCTGGCGGTGTTCAAGGCCAGGTTGGACAGAGCCTTGGGCGACATGGTTTAGTGCGAGGTGTCCCTGCCCATGGCAGGGGGGTTGGAACTAGATGATCTTAAGGTCCTTTCCAACCCTAACTATTCTATGATTCTATGGTTCTATGAGTTGTTCATTTACATGGCTCTCCATCTGTATGTGATGTAGTTGTTATACTCACATGTTTTTGGCTCAGTTGTTTTTTATGATCACTCTCCATTGTAGTTGGTTCTTTTAAAGCCAGTGTTGCATATAAAGGGAGTTTTAAACTAGTCTTTAACATGGTTAGAATGGGCAATCAAAATCATGCATTTCCAGGGAAAGAATGATCAAGACAGATTTGTACTGGCCTGATCCTATAAGAACTCGTATCTGTAAGTAGTCTTTATGAAACCACTAAGTGTGTTGCCCATATGGAAATATGGATGTTCATGACATGGAGCCAAATGTATATGTTGTACTCAGCACTTACTGGATGCTTTGGGGAGAAAGGAGGAGAGACAGAGAGTTAATAAACAGAAAAGAGGGTTTGTCTCCCATGTTTATGAATTCCCCAGCATTAATTCAGAGTTTTCTGGATACAAGGAAAGTGCAGTGCCAGTCAATGGTGGCCATATAAATATGATTTCTAAGAGAAGCATAAGCTACATCACTGAAAAAAACATAATCGGAGGAAGAAATTTTGTATGAATTGTTTTAATGAGCAGGACGTTAGAATAAAATTTCCTGGTAGGTTGATTCTCAAGGGTTTCTTGCATTTTTAAGTGCACTAATCACTGACAGAGCTGGGATTCATAAAACAAATCAGTAGTCAGGAAAGGGAAAGCACAATCAGAAATGCTTCTGTACTGGACTGAAAACCTGGAAAGCCAAGACTGCGGAGAAATCTCACAGACTCTGCTCTGTTTGTATAACATTTCACTATGTTAAAATAAAAATAAAATAAAAAAATCTCCATTTAAGGCGTACGGCAATACTTCTTAATCAAAGTTTGACTTTAAAAACACAGTATTCTGTCCTGCTCCTTTCTTTTATTGGTCAATTAAGTAAAGTAGTTAGCTTACTCAAGTGCCCATTCAGATATTTCCCTCTTTGGCAGACAGAAAAAAAGACTTAATATAATGTGACAGATACAAATTAGGGAAAAAAACAAAAAAAAAAGGAAGAGGTATATAAGATAAGAGAGACCAAAGCAGCCCTCACTTAAATTTTGATGCATTTACAATATGAGACTGGTGGTTACATTTTGAGAAGCAAATTAGAGAAAAATCAGATGGCAGAAATATTCTAGATCAGAGGCACAAGGTTTTGGATGTTAGTTCATTTTTCAGCGTCTGAACTGTTCCACATTTAAAGAATGACTTAAATTTAGTTTTACATAGCTAAATCTGGATGAAAACCTGTTTCCTAGAACAGCTCCATGATAGGTACCTCTGGTTCCCACTTTCTTTCCGTCTGTTCTGTGGTGCTTGACTGCTTCAAGAGGAGGGTTGTAGGCTAGTCATACAATGGCCTACAGCCTGGCAGTGAAGTCAGGAGCTCTGAATACAAGACCTTCAAGGCTGAGTAGACACCAGGAGCTAAAATTTGCACCTCCTGCCGCTACAGTCTTTTACATTGGAAAGTCATAAAAGAATGGGGAGTGATGCCAACAACTGGTTTCCTGTCGACACTTCCACTCCATTAGAAACTTTCAGAAAAAAGGCCATAATTCTTGGATAAAAAATGGATGCTGGCATCTTCTGCTTCCTATTGTTCTCTATGTATTCAGAGAGATATATACTAGTTTGGGAGAGGTGAACAGGATAATCCTTTTGAAGTCTTTGAGGCACCTCTTTCTTCTAGCTCTATAGAGAATTTGCACTCTAGCTTTAGGAAGACTGGATATTCTCTCCTTCTTTCTTTTGATGCTAATATCTAGGTGTCTAAAATACAGCTATGTCCAGGCCCAACTAAGGAAGATAAGACTTTGCACAGAAAATCCTATAAGTTCACCTATACTATATCTTCTAGTGCATATTGGCATACACTGAAGTGTTCGCCAGTGTTTTGAAATGGTATAACTGAACAAGTCATATGGTATTTCACTTCTATATTGGTTCTAGTCAGTATGAAGAATTTCAGCTGAAATATTGGGATGTGTCTGCACCAACTAGGTTTAGGCATCCAACTTTCATGCTTTGAATTATTCCCTGGAAGTAAAGTTTCTCTTTCCCCAATGCTAACATCAGAAATTCAGACTCGTAAAAAAAGTTGCTGTGAAGTGCAGCTTTCTAGAGACTTGAAGAAGGATCAAAACGATAGTGAGGATAACTCCTGAGTATGTCTGAAGCAATGGGCCAAGCATAGTCTTAGAATTTTTTGAGGGGAAAATACCTGATACAGTCAAATGAAGATTGTATTGGCTTTGGAAGGAATACCCTTGCAATGAAGTTCTTTTTCTTTCTTTGGAATGTCCTCTGTAAGCCAAGCTACTTATTACAGCAAGCTATTAAGACATTACAAGCTTCTAGGTGGACATGTTTAATTTGGTTTCAGAGTAGATTGTTTGGATTTAACCAGAATATATTCTACATGGATCTAGGCTTGTATGAATGTATAGTGTAGCCTAGAACTAGTAGAAGACTTTGGAGATTCAACCAAAAAAACCCAACAGACAAGCAGCTGTCACAAAGTCTAAAGTAATATGGACTCTATAAAGAAAACGTAGAGGCTTCACAGGTATCACTAGTTGTCATGCTACAAACACAACCTTTAAGAAATCATCTTCATATGTATAATTTCAAATCAAGAAAGTACATCTACTCTTTCAGTCTGAGGCCAAATCCCAATGCACCTGAAACCTTCAATACTAAAAATAGTAATACTACTAATACAGCTTTGTGCATGTTTCAGAATTTGGACCCAAAGAAATACCTCAGGGAAGAGCTAAGAGAATCAGTGATTAAATGGAATGAGATGTCCAACTAATGAACTTTTCTATTCACATTTCTTACAGAGCTTCCTGCAAGGCTATCTTCAACTAGAATATATGGAATTACTTACTGTGCAAAGTGTCTCAAATGTCTTTTCGGAGACAAAGGATCCATCAAGACCAAAAAGAAAAATAGATGCATAAGAAAGCATCCCTCCAAGGATAATAAGGTTGTTCATGTAGGGACTGGACATCTTTATTAGTCTACGGACAAAAGGTGATAGTGCATTAAAGAGGAAAAGATTACTGCTAGGCTATTAAAACAATAAAGAAGAGATTTTTGTAACCAGGCAAACAGATAACCTTCCTTGTAGAACTCTATGAAATCTATAGGCATGCACTACAAAACTGCCTGCAGTTTTAGAAAGTCTAGCACTGCTTCATGTTTTTGAATGTTTAGTCAAAAGACCTCCTATTTTACTGATGGATTAATTAGCTACAGTTAATGTGACTAGCAGACAGTCAAACACAAACTAAAAAAAATCCACTTTCCAGGTAGTATAAAAGAACTTGTTTTAACACATAGGCAATCTGTTTCAATGTTAATATATTACACAGTGATTTCAATTAAATAGTTCTAAAATACCATCTTTCCACAGTTTTAACATTTTCTTTATATATGTAAATATATGGCAGACTCTACAAACATGGCATTTAAATATGAAAGAAGTAGTGATTGGTAGAAGTAACATGAGTGTCTTACTTCTGATTTCTGTTTTTGATGTTAAAGAACAGGAAAGCACTGGCCATTATCATTCCTAGGATGGTGAGGGCAGAGAGGATGCTGTAGAGAGGCAGAGAGATCTTGCGTAGCTCCTCCTGTATAATTGTTTTGTCCTTTGGAGGCTCAAGCCCTAGAATTACAACAAGAAAAAGACTAAAGCTCAGCAAGATGTAACGTTTCTGTGAGAAAATTTGCCTCTCAACTACTATACCTTGCTTTAGCAGATTTGGAAACTGTGAATCATATCAGTAGCTGACTAAATCATTGACTTTGACAGACGTGTGTTAGTCACATTGATTGACAAGAAGGTTTGTGGTTCTGAAGCAGGTGAACAACTTCTTTGGAAGAAAAAACACAGCAATACCCTAATGCAGAGCCCCATAAAATATATGCTAACTATCCTCATTTTAAAGTGTAAATAAACACTAAAATTCATACTATGACTTTAAAATTTACCAGGCGGTTATGCTTTCCTGAAACAAGTGACAAAGCAATGAGTAGAAAACAGAGTATTGTTTGTCTGCATAGTGTCAATATTACAAGGGCAAATTCAAGCAGCCTGTCTAGATACCTACCACAGCTGTAGAAAAGCCTTGGTGTGGCATCACTGGGGCAGGGACCAACAGCCCTGGGGTCTGAAATAGGGTTCTGAGCTTTGACCAGGGTTGGGGAAGGCCCAGGACAGAGGGAGGCAGGGCTGTTGGTGCCCTCAGGACTGTACAGAGTAGAACAATATGGAAAAATGGATAGCAAAGGTTTTATAGGGACAGACCCACTTCTCAAATCCTTGCGGATGTGGACTTGGATGTCTCAATTTAGAAACTATGTTTAAAGTCATGTGCTTGATTGACAGTCTGCTCCCTCTAATTAAAGGCTTCTCAGTTTAACGGAAAGAAATACTTTCTGAAGACTGCAATAGAGCTCTGCATCCACTTCTTTCCACACTCCATTTTATCTGCTTACTAAGATTTTCCTTGGTACAGGGGAACGGCAAAAGGCCTTTGGCACCACTGTCTTCCTTCAGAAAGAAGTGTACGTGCCCTATACTTCCTCAGCCTGTCCTTTCACATCAGCCTTCTGTGGGACTGCTAGGATGACCACTCAGGGCTGAGCAGCTTCTTATCACAGATTTTAATTATTAGCTTTAAAAATAATATATATGCCTATATTCATCAGGAAAGACCCTTAAAATTAATTTCAGCTGACACCTGGCTGACATGATCATATTCTCAGAAAGTCATCGCTATGCCCACACTTCAACTGCTGTGAGGGCAGAGGAAGTCCTCATGCTAACTTTGGAGCAGCATGGGATAAAAAATGGCAAGAAAGTAAAACAGCACAGTCTATACGTTTGCTGGGGACCTTGAGAGTCCCTCTCTGGCCCTGTTTCACATAGGGCATCTTAAAGCTATCCTTGGTATTTGGAAATTTATTTTCTAACTGGTTAACAAATATCTCCCAAAGACAAACAGCCATCTCCTTCTTTGTGCAAACACAGCACACAAGAGCAACCCTCATGTGTAATGAACTGGGGGAGGGGGAAATGAGGATGAAATTAGAACATTATTGATTGGTGGAATGAAGAAAAGCATTTGTATACACATATAAATTTGAATTTGTCCTAGTCATTGGGATGAAAAACAAGTACACGATATCAAAAAGTTGTGATTTTCTGTTCAGAATTCTCCTATTTTTTTAAAAGCACAGCTCAGTTTTCTTTCTCTTTATACTGTGTCATATCTTTTTGATATTAAAAATCCTAAACCAGTTCTTTAACAGCACACAGTCTTACAAACTGCATACAGCTATCCATGTCAATCCTGCACCTCTTTCCAGTTTTCTCTCCTACCTTGGAACCTGATGCTGTTGTTGCTCATTTCTAGTGTGTCAGCCACAGCGTTGTACTCTCCCACCTTCACTTCCTTTCTTTCTGCAGAGAAACAAACAAGAGCAATTGTTTATGGCAGTTCACATGTTCTCAGTTATTTAACTGATTTAGCCTTCTTTTTTGACAGTATGTCAAGAATAACGCATGAATTATTAAAGCAGAATGCCAGACAGCTGATATCATTAGAAGAAATATTTCTTTGAAGAAATGCAAAGTATTTTTGAGAGCTCATTTACATACTCAGAGAATTGTGTTACTGGGCACAGACATCTACAGCTTAAAGATCACATGCCTACTTACCAGCTCACACCATGCAGGGCATTTTGCTGGGAGAAAAGACATGGCTAAATCAGACATTCCACTCCCATTTAAACAACTGGGACATCTTGCTTAATGAAGTATTTCCCAGGGGAGTCATAGTGGCAGGCTCCAGTCAGTACAGAGTAGACGGGTTAGCTAATACATATACTGAGAATCTAATCTCTTATGCTGATTGGGAATTAGTAAGTCATTACTACCCTGACTGCAAAATGTACTATGTTATATAATTAAAGCCAATGTGCACTCGAGCTAAAATCTTACTGTTACTCTCATCTGCTGTTTTGGGACTGTTATCACATAGATGGCCTTCCTGTACCTAATGGAGTAGAGTAACACACATACAGGAACTTAATTTGTTTGGCTGCTGCCTTGGCCTCTATAGCTGAAACTCCATCACGTATTTGTCCCACCCTTCTGAAAACATCTGGTATCAATTAATTTCTGGTATTACTGTTGGGGTTTTGGTGTGGCTTGGAAGTGCAGGAATTTAATAAAGTATCACTTCTACGCTAAAAGTTTTATGTTTTGATCAGAGATTTATAAACCACAGACACATCAGTTAAAGTTTTCTTTGATGAGCTGGCTCAGCAGAGCCAAAAATTTCCGCTCAGGCCTCTATGTCTGGGCATTCACAACCCAATTTAGATTTAAATTTTGAGCTCATGACCCTATTTGTGACATTGATTTTGGGAGCTGACGATCTTGAACTAGAAGGCAAATTTGAAAAGACTGTATTTCACCCAACAGTTCCACATTAACCTTTTCCTCCTTTCTTGCTCAAAGTGATTGTGCCTGTTCAGCTCTGCTGAATGGAGCAGCTACCTCCATTTTAATAAAATCTACAGGCTGATTAATACTAATCTGAGAGCTCACAGGAGGCAAAACTTTTCCTTACATAAACCAAACCATCTTATAGTTAAAATTGTTTATGCAGAATTGTAGAGTGGGCAGAGATAGCTAGGCATTTGCTGTACCCCTGTGAAAAGACGGAGTCTGCAGTTCTGAAAACTGATCTGTTTTTCACGTGAGCATCGTCCATTTCTGGGGCCCTAAGACTAGTTTGGAATAAAATCGCAATCCCCTGGTCTATAGCAAGAGTTTCACAAAGCCCATCTACATGCATACTCTTAGGAGCAAATGTACGTTTGTACTTTCTGTCACAGGCTAAAAATCCTCTGTGAAATAATTAAAGGCATAAATGCTTCACAGTGTGAAATAATAAAATCTTCCCAGAAGTCATCTAAAAGCTAAAATCATTACTGCTAAAAACTGGACCAATTCACTTCCATCTGTATTTGTAGCATGACGGCTATTACCTGTAGTTCTAAAACATCACAACCTAGAGAGAAGAGAGACAAACACCTGAATGCATACCAACATACAATTTGCACATTAGATGCCAGATTGTCCACAGCTTCTACTTATACGAAATGGGGAGGACACACACCTCAGTGTTGGTCTAGCCACAAGTTTACAGTAACAGGCTAAAACCTGACAGCTCTGATGAGCAACGAAGAGAAAAGAGCAATTGCTCCAAAAACATTTCTGTATGGAATACTTCCTGGGACTAGAAACACATAATAGGTGGGGAAGCATACACAAAGAGAGTGTTAATCTGTGGTCCATTTAAAGTCCTGCAATTTAGAAACTTTTCCTGTGATTGCTTCATATGAGTTACACCACCATTCCTTTTCAACATTTATAAATTCTTACATGGCTTCCTTTACAGATGAGGTGACATTGAGAATGTGCCTATGATGGTAACTGCAATGTAGTGCAATACAGATGAGGTAGCCTACAACTAGCCAGCCTGGATGTCAGGAGCTAGGCCTTGTAGGAGTGTAGCTTGGTAGAGCTACTTGGAGAAACAAACTTCCATGACAGACTGAACTGAAGAGCAAGTGTTATTTGGACTTAGAAACTTAAAGACTGTTGGGGAAAAAAGCATTTAGTACCCAGGAACCACATAGAATCATAGAATAGTTAGGGTTGGAAAGGACCTTAAGATCATCTAGTTCCAACCCCCCTGCCATGAGCAGGGACACCACACACTAAACTATGTTGCCCAAGGCTCTGTCCAGCCTGGCCTTAAACTCATGATCAATGCCTCATCCCTTACAAATGGAAAAGGACAGTTGATAGAGCACATGCTAATCCTTATTGAAGTCAAGAAAAGCAATAAAGATATTTGATATCTTAAAGTAGTTACAGTGGTGGAAAGTAGTCAATGAGGGAAATAAATCATATTTTTACAGAGCAGAAGCGTATGTTATCCATACGGGGGTATTGAGAGGGAGACACAAATAGTCTTTGTGCTCTTTTGTACCCCCAGCTATGAGTACAAATACAGCTATTGGTTTTTCAGTTCTCCAAGTGCAGGTGCTGAGCAGTGACAGCCACCTCCAAATATTAATTAAAGAAAGCAAGGAGGCAGCACTATGGTTCTCTGTAATCTTGCACAAGCCGACACAGCTAAGGATAGGATGGCAGGCTCTACTTTTCTACATGCCATTCCTTCAAGTTCCCTTTGGAAATTCTGAATTATTCAAGTCAGTATACTCTTTGTATGATGTAGCTCATACCTGTCAAAAATCTCTCTGTGTTCAACAACAAAAGGACAAGAGGAAGTGGAACTCCTTCAAATAAACACACCAATAAAATGCTTTGCACAATATTCAGAATATGATGTTCCTTTTTTCTGTAGTGTGTTCATTATTTTTAACTTATACTTCAATACCTATAATAGAGAGATTGTATTGAAAGCCCCCTGCTCAGGTTAAAATGAAGAAGAAAAAATATGAGGGAAAATACACATTTTATGAGATAATGCTTGTGAATACCATGACAGGAGCGTTGGGATTTTAAAACTTGAATTTGCAGCTGTTCTTTCACACACGAACAGAAAAGTATGAAAACTAGCCAACCCAGAGAAAACTGGACCAGAAATATATGACTCACATTTACGCTTAACAGAATTATAAACAACTAATCCTTGTTCTTAATTAATTGTCACAGAATAGATTACTTACACGGACAAGATTAGAGTCTTCTGCCAACAAAAAACTGAACTACTTTAAAACGTGAATTAAGATGTTTCCTTCTGCATGTTTTGTTACAGAACTAACAAAAAAAGCGATGACACACTACCACTTCATTAATTGGGTCGCATTTCACAAAGTTAATACAACAGATTTTTAATTGCATATCAGATAGCTACATGTTCTTGATGAATAAAGGCAAAAGTAATCTGCACCCGACATCAGCTGGGTAAATCAAACTTACCAAAAAGCACGTCAGTATGATGGTTGCCAGTATTACTGTTACCTACTCACGCTGTTTTCCATATGAGACTATGCTTAGTTTCAGTTCCATTCACTGCATATCATAATTTCTATTTCCACTACATTTTTGTAAGTGTGCTTATTCACACCTCATGAAGACAGTTTCTACTGAAAGATATTTAAGGATGAGAGAAAACACTTGTGTACAAGATGGGACAGACGGATTTCCTTCATTTCCCTCTATTTAGACAACACTGGCTAGCTCCTAATGACACTAAGACTTTGTGTATATATATATATATATATATATAAAACTTGTACCACCTTCTCATGGAAATGGTACAAATAACCCTAGTAGTGATGCAGTTGAGCCAATATAAAAATGCTTACACCAGTATAATCATCACACAAGTACTCGCATGTTCACAGACATATCTATCCTATCTGACAGTTTAGCATTCACAAGCTATTGGATACTCATTGGGACGTTCAGTCCAGAGACAGAGCAAAGGGTGCACAGACATATTACATTATGGTGTCCTGCGTCTTGCCTTTCTCCAATTTGGCTTCTGGTCACATTCCCTTTTAAAGAGTGAACGTTTTTCTTCAACACTTTATTGGTCACCTAGCAAGCAAATGTCACTGACAGGTCTTAGCTCTTCATTCTCATTCCCTCTATCACCTACTGTGAAGGCTCCTGAAAAGCTAATGTGCCACACTGAGTGACAGCAATCCTGTGACCAAGGGTATTCAGAGAACAAGTCCAGGCAAAGAAAATGTGCCAAACACAAGTAGTGAAAAATCTAAGCTGGAGACTGCAAATTGATGGCAAGTCTGAGAACACTTCCCATATTTCAGTAAGTCCTGTGCAAATGGCCTGAAAAGTCTCTTCTAACCTGTTTTACCTTTGTCTCACTCATTTTGAAAGCTGTTTCACAAAATAACCTTCTACCACAAAAGCTGGAAATGCTGTTTTAAATGCCTTTACATTGCTGAATAAAACCAAGAGTCATGAAAGCTAATTTCCTTCATATATGAATGTATATTTATATGTAAATTTCTTCATGTATAAATTTCCTGTTGTGGATCCTCTAGAAATTCTTAGCAAATTAATGTATTCCTAAATTTCTTAATATATCCTTGTCAAACAGGATGGGAAGCTTTTCAGTTATCTTTATCATGTCAGCAATAACCAAAACAAGTTGAAAGTTTCCAATTAAAAAAAATATATAAATCACAAGAGAAGCTTATAAATAATTAATGAGCAAAGTCTCTTTCATGAATTTCTATCCACTTGTAGGCAACCATTTCTTTGTTTAAAGACAGAGATGCTGAGATTAAGAATCACAGTTCAAATAAGGAAGAAAATGTCAGGTCAGATAGAAGATTACTCCTCAGCAGAAGCTGCCAGAAAAGAAAGAATCAAGGAAGAAAAATATG